ACGGGCGGAAAATGTAGGCACCAGATGGCTGACTTCCGAGGCCTGCGCTCTGAAATTGGGCAGGCTAGCAGAGATTGTTTGAGGAAATGGACGGACCCCGAGAGGAGGGCAGGCTAGCAGAGATTGGAGGAGGAAATGGACGGACCCCGAGAGGAGGGCAGGCTAGCAGAGATTGGAGGAGGAAATGGACGGACCCCGAGAGGAGGGCAGGCTAGCAGAGATTCTTTTGGGAAAGCGCGAACCTCATAAAAGTAAAATTGCTGCTTGAGAAGCTGTCGATTGCCGGTCGTCTTGTCGACGACGGCCTCCAATGAGCCATCTACATTGAATTCCAGTCGGATTAACTATAAAAAAAGGTGTATTAACACATATTCTGGACTATGAAAAAATTAATAATGGATTTTTTTGGTAAATTAAGCTGAACGTACGCTATTTTCCAAGGTCGACGTCGCGTCGCGAAGCGGCGTTTCTGGCTTCTGGACGGTGAGCGCGCTAAAGGGACAAAATTTAGAAAATTGTACAAATTTCCTCAAACAATCTCTGCTCGCTCACCCCTTTTTTGCCATCGTGTCCACATAAATCGATCGGAATCCGAGTGGATCTACTTGTAGAGGTACGTAGAGTGTATACTGTGCTCCATCAGCCGCATTTGCCTGGCTAGGCGCCGCGAGGAACACCTGAAATTTTTGGTTAAATTGAATTGGATTCAAAGCCATTAAAAGTATTTAACGTTTTATAATTGCAAAATTACTAGTTTAACAGATAAAAACTATTGCAATACGGCAATAAATAAATCCAAATATTACCTGCGCGCCCGTAATAAGTTGTCCAGCGTAGTCGTATACGGCGGCCTGGGCTGCATAGGATGGGATCTCGATCACCGTATTCGAGACCTGGCCCAGTGGGTTGAATACGGTAGCCACGTACGAGGCCTTGTTGCTGAAAACGTGGTTTTTAGGTTCTCGATCTCGATCTCTCTCTTTTTCTCTTTCTCTGTCGTCTCTCTCTTCCGGCAAGCGCCTCGTGTTGTTGTCTAGACCTAGTCGACAGGGGGTCGATTCGGTTGCTTCCAAGTGCCTTTAAACCCACAAAATGGCTGCGCAAGTCGTCTCATTGGCCTCAAGGCACAGCTGGTGCTTCGGGGCTGTAGTTTGTTGCGTGGCGAACTGGATGGCGTGGGTGGCAAGTGTCTGGAAAATGAAGCTGAGAGAGAGAGAGAGCGAGAGAGAGAGAGAGAGAGAGAGAGAGAGAGAGAGAGAGAGCGTCAGCAAGAGTGTGAGAGACGGCCAGAGAGTGAGTGAGCGTGAGAGAGGGAGAGTGAGAGAGAGAAAAAGCGAGAAACAGCAAGAGACCGAGAGAGTGGGTGAGAGAGAGAAATAGTGTGAGAGCAGGCTAGCAGAGAATCTTTGCAGAATCCAAACTCTACTTCCAACTGAATCATTCCCTTGTGAAGACGTTGTTGATAATCATAAGTGACGACTTGTTTAGCTGTTCCCCTAAAGCTAATTTTTTAGCGAGAGAGCCAGAGAGAGAGAGAGAGAGAGAGAGAGAGAGAGAGAGAGATAGTGATAGACAGCGAGAGAAAGCTATATTAAAACCTACGTAACAGCATCGTGATGCTGAACCAGTCCGCTGGCCCGTTTGGCCGTCTCCAGCGCCGCGTCATCACCAAGCAGGAAATGGGCCGATAGCTGCTTTCCTAGCTGTAAAAATAGGATGAAAACCCGGTAGTATTATTGTACGTTAAATTCTTCCAAATTTCGCCCTAAATCATACATTCAATAGTGAGGAGGCCTGGCGGATCATTCCCTTAAAAGCCGGTCTCGAGGTGAAGTAGCCGGTCCAGTAGCTGTTCTGAGCCGAGGCGTAGCTGGAAAAAAATACGTAGCAGAGATTGTTGGAGGAACAACTTACGGGAAGAAGTCGTCGCTTTTGGTGGTGAGCACGGGCTGCGCTTTCTGGACGGCTTTCGTGTAGCATGCCGGCGTAGAGTAGAGCAGGTTCAGTCCCATCGACGGCTAAATGTAAGGGTTGGCAAAAGAGAGAGAGAGAGAGAGACAGAGAGAGAGAGGGGGAGAAAGAGATAGAGGGAACGAGAGAGAGAGAGAGAGAGAGAGAGAGAGAGAGAGGGAGAGAGACAATTGATAGAGATGGAGAGAGAGTGAGGGAGAGAGAGAGAAAGAGAGAGAGAGAGCGAGAGAGAGAGATAGAAAAAGAGAAAGGGAGAGAGCGAGAGAGAGAGAGAGAGAGAGAGAGAGAGAGAGAGAGAGAGAGAGAGAGAGAGGTAGAGAGATAAAGAGATATATAGAAAAAGAGAAAGAGAGAGCGAGAGAGAGCGAGAGAGAGGGAGAGAGAGGCAGTGAGAGAGCGCGAGCGAGAGAGAGACACTCACATTAGCATTAAAATACTTGATCAACTTGTCGAGATTCCTGTACCACTTCTCGGCCATCTGATAGTTAAAGTCCATTCCCATGGTGAGGATGACGTTCTTCGTCTTGTAGTGGCTGGCCTGATGTGGGATAGGTTCCATTAATACAAAGGGTGATTCAATTCACAACATAACGTTTTTAAAAAATAGAATAAGCATGGTTTAGTTAGGGTTTTTATAAATTGTTTTTTTTCACTTTATTTTTTTGTCTTAATCTTTTTTATTAGATAGACCCAATTTTCTTCCCTGTGTAAACTCCAAAACTTACAAACTTTGAGTAAAAAATTCAAAAAAGCCGATTTTTCGCGCAGTACTGGGCAATTTTTGACCAAAATTCAAACGAATAATTTTTCTAGGTGCTCTCGAATGTTTTTGCGCTTCAAGTCTAATTAAATTCTCTCTAAAATGCTATGAAATACCGACGATTTGATAACCTAAAGGTATGAAGAATTTCTAGGCTTATAAAAATTCGATGGTAAATGCCAAATTCGCGAAATTTTCAGGCATTACGGTATTGTCGGTGTTTTTGTTAAAATGCTAGCTGCATTTTCAAAACATCCATTTGCTAACTAAAAAAAATGGTATCCTTTTTGTACCTGTTCAGTGACGTAGTTGAGAAATTGCTGGGCACGGCGGACGACGTTGTAGCCTGGTTGGTTCGGGTCGTCCTAGATTTAACCAATCCTAGGCCATAGAAAACGTGTAAAAATAATGGTACTGGACTAAATACTAACAGGGGGCTAAATATTGCGTTTTTCGGCCGACATACTACGAAAATGGCCAAAAACGCCAAAAATTTCGAATTTCCCAGCGATCAAAACCAACAAAAAACAGCAGAAAAGCACCTAAAATATTACTAACCAGATGGTTACAGTCGCTTCGCGACTGCAACCATCTGGCCTTCGGGCTACCCTACATGTCCCACTCCACCACATCCTTTCCCACCTCCATCAATACCCCCCATGGCTGAAATCCCCTTCAAAAACTACCTAAATACCTTCCTGATGGCTTTAGATACCCCCCATGGCTGAAATCCCCTTCAAAAACTACTTCGATACCTTCCTGATGGCTTTAGATACCCCCATGGCTGAAATCCCCTTCAAAAACTACTTCGATACCTTCCTGATGGCTTTAGATACCCCCATGGCTGAAATCCCTTCAAAAACTACTTCGATACCTTCCTGATGGCTTTAGATACCCCCATGGCTGAAATCCCCTTCAAAAACTACTTCGATACCTTCCTGATGGCTTTAGATACCCCCCATGGCTGAAATCCCCTTCAAAAACTACTTCGATACCTTCCTGATGGCTTTAGATACCCCCCATGGCTGAAATCCCCTTCAAAAACTACTTCGATACCTTCCTGATGGCTTTAGATACCCCCATGGCTGAAATCCCCTTCAAAAACTACCTAAATACCTTCCTGATGGCTTTAGATACCCCCATGGCTGAAATCCCCTTCAAAAACTACCTAAATACCTTCCTGATGGCTTTAGATACCCCCATGGCTGAAATCCCCTTCAAAAACTACTTCGATACCTTCCTGATGGCTTTAGATACCCCCATGGCTGAAATCCCCTTCAAAAACTACCTAAATACCTTCCTGATGGCTTTAGATACCCCCATGGCTGAAATCCCCTTCAAAAACTACCTAAATACCTTCCTGATGGCTTTAGATACCCCCATGGCTGAAATCCCCTTCAAAAACTACCTAAATACCTTCCTGATGGCTTTAGATACCCCCCATGGCTGAAATCCCCTTCAAAAACTACCTACATACCCCCGCTAATTGCTACCGATACCTCCCCTAGCCGAAAAATCCTTCAAAAACTACCTACATACCTTCCTGATGGCTTCAGATACCCCCCATGGCTGAAATCCCCTTCAAAAACTACCTAAATACCTTCCTGATGGCTTCAGATACCTCCCCTAGCCGAAATCCCGTTAAAAAAACGAAAATAACGACCGACCGGATGGAATGAGAGAAAAAAAGAAATGAAATTCCCCATGAAAATTTTCATCCACGAAACGCGCGCCACCTGGCTCACTATGCGAAAATCATGCCAACCTCCGTCCCCCACCCCTTTTACTAAGGAAAAAACTTTCAAAGTTAATTTTAATAATTTAAACTAAAACTTTTTCATAATTTTTTTATCAGTTTGGGGGTTTCTGACCATGCTCTATCCGGATCCGAAGAGACCTAAGCTCTAGCTCCTTTCCCCTTCGAGTTGAATTCGGCTTCAGACGGACGGACGGACGGAGACCACAGCAAAATTATTATAGTTGATAGGTGGTAATAAAAATCCACAGCCAGTTGTGCCTTGCCAATTCCTTTAAAGTCAGCTTTTACCTGAATCTCCTCGTCATTACATCCGCTGTCAAAGCAGAAGCCACTCGGCGGCGAGTAATCCCAATAAAGCGCCCCCGTCAGCAGCGAGGTCTCTAAAAAATGGGGTGGATTATGGATAAAAATCAATTAAAAATCGTATAACTATTTAACAAACTATTAAAAACGTCTAAAAATAGACAAATTTGTAAAGTTTTTACGTCTAGGAGTAATAATAAATAGCATATAAGCACCTGCTCTATTTATATATGCCAACTTCCCACTGCCGAGTAGCGCGCCAAAAAAATGAGATTTTTTTGATATTTGACGAAACACATTTTTTAGCCGGAAATTTATAAGCCTTTAAAGACGGGGCGGGCTCCTTTTCCCCCCCCCTTTTTTTTACCCCCCCCCTAAAGAGCAAGGCGGGATAGGAGGGGGGGATGATTTCCGTAACTTACTTTGCTCATCGGACCCAATCCAGTTGAACTCGTTGTTTTTCGTGGAATGCCGGAGGGAGCGGTCGACGTAGTGGATACGCCCGAAATACAACGACTCGTAGCCCATCTGAATTTCTTAAGGTTTTCCACCTAATTAGCAATTAACGTCTCAATTTCTTTCAAAATGTCGAAATTCATAACGTCGAAATGTCACAATCTGGAAAATCAGTTAGTCGAAATCGTTCAAAATCGGCTCGCTGCATGCAGCTTCAACATTAGCTTGCATCAGCTAATTTCCCGGAAAACCCCCGGATCCTATGCGAAAAAAATTCGAAATTCTGAATTTCGACATCATAAAATTTCGACATTATGTTAGAAACTCAAAATCTGCCTTAAAATGGAACGCCTAGATCTTTTTATTAGGTACCTGCGCAGCCAAATTGGCGAATTCACGGCTGTGCCCGAATGGGTCGATCTGCCACGCGGCTTTCGGCTGGCTGCAGTTCGGTCCGAACAACACCTTTAGATGCTCGAGTCTGAAAAAGGCGATCCTCAAACAATCTCTGCTAGCCTGCCCTCCTCTCGGGGTCCGTCCATTTCCTCAAACAATCTCTGCTAGCCTGCCCTCCTCTCGGGGTCCGTCCATTTCCTCAAACAATCTCTGCTAGCCTGCCCTCCTCTCGGGGTCCGTCCATTTCCTCAAACAATCTCTGCTAGCCTGCCCTCCTCTCGGGGTCCGTCCATTTCCTCAAACAATCTCTGCTAGCCTGCCCCACTCACCCTAACGTCATCTGGTCGATGATATCCACATAGTGTGCGGCGGCTTCATCATTTTGCACCCATCCGCCGCCGATCAGCTCAATTTGGCCTGTGAGCAATTCACTATAATTCTTCTTTAAACCAAAACGTTACCATTCTGAACGAGTTTTTGCAGGCGGGATACGGTAGTCTGGTTGTGCTCCACCCACCGCATCAAAAAGCCCGTTTCGGCGAAGGAGAACCTACAAAACGAGTTTCGTCTGGGTGAAACACCCACTTTCTGCTCTTGTCCTTTTCCACCTCGGTGATTACGGTGTCGTAGATCTTTTGCACCTCTAAAAACATTGGCTTTGGAGGCGGGCAGGCTAGCAGAGATTTTTGAGGAAACAGTCGCGATCCCGTACCCCGGTCATAATATTGATCGACCGTCATCAACCAGCCCAGATCATCATGGGTGTGCGTGACGAGGTGGACATTTAGGAGGGATTGGTCGGTGGCCAATGGATTGCATGCCTAAAAAATTTTTAGAATTCCTAGGGAGCTAGCAGAGATTCTTTGAGGAGATTCGGAAATTTACTTGGCACCGCGGCCCAAATGTCCCAAAATTTCGGTATTTTTGCCAATTGTTTGGGATTTTTAACGTTATTCGATAGAGGGTCGAAAAATATAGTCGGAGCTATGATTACCGCTAAAAATCGTTAAATAAAAAAGGTAGAGCAGACCCAAGAATAATCCTTGAAAATAGAAAGTTATTACAGAAACAAGCGAAATTAGGCTAGCATTTTTCCGGAAAGCTAGCAGAGATTGGAGGAGGAAATGGACGGACCCCGAGAGGAGGGCAGGCTAGCAGAGATTGTTTGAGGAAATGGACGGACCCCGAGAGGAGGGCAGGCTAGCAGAGATTGGAGGAGGAAATGGACGGACCCCGAGAGGAGGGCAGGCTAGCAGAGATTGTTTGAGGAAATGGATGGACCCCGAGAGGAGGGCAGGCCAGCAGAGATTGGAGGAGGAAATGGACGGACCCCGAGAGGAGGGCAGGCTAGCAGAGATTGTTTGAGGAAATGGATGGACCCCGAGAGGAGGGCAGGCTAGCAGAGATTGGAGGAGGAAATGGACGGACCCCGAGAGGAGGGCAGGCTAGCAGAGATTGGAGGAGGAATGGACGGACCCCGAGAGGAGGGCAGGCTAGCAGAGATTGTTTGAGGAGATGGAAAACCTTTTAAAACCCACATCCCAGCTGCAAACGTCGGCGGCCGCAGTTGCTAACGCGCAAAACAGTAAATACAATCCCCTCATGTTCCGTATCGTAACGGAATGTGGCGCCGGAATACTAGCGATCAACCCGGTGTTCCGGAATTCCGACCTTCGACTTTCCGTTATCTCCTCGTGGCACGAAACGGCTTATCGAACAGTTCGGGGGCAACAGCCTTTCGATGGCCAAATGACCATCCCCCCGGCTACTGCTCCGCGATACCAAAGTCCCCCGGGGGTCTCGAAACAAACTTCACTCCGATTGCCACGAAAAAGCTTTAGGTTATCGCAGAAACGGGGGTGCTCGTTATTTCGGTGTAATAAAAATACCTTCACATAAGAAATATCGTCAAATAATGATACAAACTATAAAAAAGCGCTTAGTATATTTTCGGCCCTCTATCGACTGTCGTTTTGAAAATATAGAAAATACTGAAAATTGAGTTCGCCCTCCTATCGCGTCGTACGGCACCAGCAATCGATTTACACCCGTCGCGTGCCTTTTTTCGCCATTTTTCAGGTATCGAAAGGTCCCAAAAAATTATTAAAACTTGCTAAAAATTGTGATTTTAGCCAAAAATGGATGGAAAATCGGCCAACTCGAAGTTTTAGAAAAACTAGCAAACTTTTTCGTGCTTCAAAAGCCATAAAAATACACTTGAAAAGCAGAGCAATTTTTGCTAGACAGGTATAGCCTTCGTAACCGCCTCCCCGCTAAAAGACGAGCACCACGTGAAGCTCACAGGGACAACCCTGCAAAGCAATTGAGGGTACATAAATGGTTGAGAATGTTAATTCTAAAAACTATTTTAATTTCAAAATTTCAAAAATATTGCGAAATCCACGCGTAAAAGCACTTTATTCTCAACAGCCTTCAATGACTCGAGCAAAAGAAATGTCATATTAGAGAGCCCAGCCAAAAAAGACAAAGACCAGAATCAAAAAATGAACCCGTACATGCGAAATTAGCAACAAAATATACATCAAAATAGGCAAATTGTCGGCACGTTCGATCTGTGGCTTCTCGCTCAAGCGTCGGCGGCCTGCGTCTTCAGCTCTCGCCCTCGTCCCCCCGGGCACGTCGGGCTTCGCGCGTTTCCGGTCGTAGTAGCTGTGCTTCTTGTATTCTTTTGCAAACCTAGAAGAGAAAACATTATTTGGAATTAGCGGGGGGACCATCTTTTTGCCTATAAAACCAGAATTTCCTAGTAAGGTGATAGTAAGTGTTTTCATAGTGTTTTTAGTAAAGTTTAACGTTATTTTAGGTAAAAAAACCATTAAAAAACCTAGAATATTTTTAGCTGCAATTTTGGTGGAAGATCTGGCATTTTTGGGCGCAAAAATCAATATTTTTTTGTATTTAGTTATCAAAATTTATCCAGTCTTGACGTTTAGGAATAGCAAAAACGATTCAGCAACACTTCCGCTCTTCACACGAGAAAAATTGGATCCTTAGAAACAAGTTCTAAATCCTAAACGCAAAGATTTTACAAAAATTTTAAAACGAAGAATTATAACTTTTCCATCAAATTTTATATTTTTGAACAGTTATTAAAGTTTTCAAAATAATTTTCTGGCTAAACGTTACAAAAAAAGATTATTAAGATGGATTACTATTCCGCTACTAGGCATACCCAAACCGATAGCAAAGAACTTCGGGTCCTTCGAATCACCAAGAACGGCGGAAAAACAAAATAGTAAAATCCAGCACTGACCGAAACTGCCAATCGGCCACTTTGTCGGCGTGTTGTTGCCATTGGGCGGCATTCGTGTCGTGGATCTTCAGGAACGCGTCGAAGACCATCTAAACCGGAAAATTAGGGTCAAGGGAAAATGAGCAACCTGCGGGCTGATCGTCTTCACCGCCACCGGGCCCCACTCGTACAAGATGTCGTCGCCCGGCGCCGGTCCGCTTTGTTTTGCGCTGACGGCTAGGAGGCCTGGAAAGGAATGGGTATGATGGGTAAACACAATCGCTAACATTTAGGCAACATCGTAACGAGATAAAAGAAAAGACTGACCCTCGTTTATCATGGTGTTGATCAGCATCTTCATGTCGCCGAGCACCTCGTCGGGCTCCGTGTTCGAGTAGCCGAGCGTCTCCTAAGAAGAAACATTGTAACTTATCAAACTTTCTAGTTTATTCTCGCTTTCCTTTTCGTTTTTTTTCGTTTGTCGTTTAGCGCGCATTTTAAAAGGTCTTCAAAGGAAAAAAAGTTTCGAAGCCTGAGAAGATTGCTTCGAAGCTTGAGAACGAAGATTGAGGATTAACACGCATGAAGAGAAAACAAGACGATAAAACTCAGCGAAATGATCATAATTGTGATGAACGTATGAGATACAGGACCTCGAAAACTCACAAAGAATTTCCACATCCGCTCCGACGGCACTTTCCCGAATTCCTTGGCGAGCGACGGCGGCCGTTCCATCATCAGAAACACGAGCACGATGAAGCGAAAGCCCTTTTGCGCGTCGGCCTGAATCCAAGGTATAGAACCGAATTTAACAATTACCATTTCCGCGAGATTCTCGACGTTCGGCAGGCCGGGCAGGATATTCGTCAGGTAGAGCGTGCCGTCTTTTTGCACGATCTGAACGAGCATTTCCAAGATCACGAAAACTACAAAATACCGTGTATCCACATGAACGGCGCAGCTTTTCGTTCGTCTTTTTCAGCAGGCACTCCCACGTCACCGAGTCGACCTTGACGAACGAGCGCAGAAGGTTCTCCTGAAAAATGGCCGGCGGTTTGGTTCTGGACTCTTAGCGGAGTGGGAGGGATTTTAGCAGGGGGAACCACTTTTTGTTTTCCTACTTTTGAAAATCCGAAAATTTTTACCTTTTTTGGTCATTTCCATACATTTTTGATCAAAAGGACAACAATTTTCAAAAATGTTATTCTTTTTATCTAAAAAGTACGTAAAATGCGATAAAACGGTTTATATTAGCGAATTAGAGCACGCCGTAGAGAATCACAGGGAAAAATTTAGTTTCCCCCCCCCGCTAACAGCCCAGAACCGGGGATTTCGCCGATTTCCCAGAAGCAAAAACTAAACTCCTGCACGATACCTTGACGGCGCTCTTCCCCCCGGGACTCGCGAGCATGTGCTGGGCAATCATCGCCACAAGCTTGCCCATCGTCATCGGCTCGCCGTCATCGTCCTTGTACAGCTCGAGGTCCTGAAAAAAATCAGAATCAGCAAAAAAATTAGCGTAACCTCATCGTATTTGTCCCGCTTGCCATTGTAGCGCGCTGGAGCCATTGCTGTAATAGAATAGGATCAACATTTCAGCACTTAAAAAGACAATTTTTCGGATTCGGAAGGCATAAAAAAATCGATGATCGTGCGATCGGGTTCTTTCGCATTAACGGGCGGGGGGCAATTTTTTATTTTAGGCTCGAATTTCTCTAATATAAATAGGAGAAGTGTGCTTAAATGTCTTTAATATGCCCATACGTAAAAATTGGTAATTTTTGCTTAAAAATAAACAAAATCGCCGGTTTTTGACTTCTGAAAGGCTTTAAGCAGCTTTTCTAGTATTCTAGCATTTAAGAATAGCCACATTCTACTACATACACTAAAACCCGTCCCAGACTTTTCTGGGCTTATAGAAAAAAGCCGACCCCGCCGATCATGCGATGGAACCTGCGACCTGCTTGTGATTCGGAAACCATAAACACAACGATATAACGAAAGAACGAAGCTCGCTTGTCTCCTTCGGGTATTTGCTTAGACGTTTATTTAGCCGCCAATCTAGATAAAGCACAACCTTCAAAAGAACGAGTATTGAAATTTAGAGAGGAAAAAAGAAGAAACAGCAAGAAATGTTTGCACTGAAATGAGGAGCTAAAAAACACAAGATCAGTCGACCCGAATTCACAAATTTGAGGGAGCAAAGAAAAGGGGGAGCAAGAAAGAGCGTTTACATCTTCTCGAAAGTCTCCGTGTAGCCGCACTCGGCGCATTCACGTTTCCATTCGCCGGCCGCAGCGTCCACCTAAAGAAAAGCAGTCTGATCGCAGCCTGGAATTCACCACCTCAATCTCGTCGCCAAAGGCGTGGATGTGCGCCTTTTTCGTGACGACGATATTCTTGCCGGCACCACGAATCTAAAGTGAAGAGACTAGAAAATTGAGCAGATGGGAACAAGTTTCCACCGTAAAATTTTTGTAATAATTTTTTTGTAAATATAATTGTCTCCCTGCCAACAATCTAGTGCCAAAATCGCTTAGAAACAAGTTTTCAATTGATATTTGCAAAACCGATTTCTAAAAAAAGTCGATTTCTCGGGGAAACCCCAAACAACCCAATCGCGCAGTCCGCACAAATGAACTGCTAACCTGTTTTCGCATATCCTTGAGCTTCTTCTCGAAGTTGCGTTCATTCTTGACGGTGCGCTTGTCCTCGCGCAACTTCTTAGCGTCTTCCAGCCCCTCGTAGCTGCCGTGCACCTCAAGCATTCGGTCGATCACCTAAAAGAAATTTATTGCCAGGGCGCAGCGACCAGACCTGACAGCCCAGGTACAGCTTCATGTCGCCATACCGCGGGTTGTGCGGATTTTTTCGGGCAATGTACCTAGGAAGCGAAAGTTGGCCAAATGTACATGGAATACCTCAAAGCCGGCTTGCGCAGATCCAAGTCCGGCGGCTTGAGCAGGTAGGTGTTTAGTGCATCTGTGCGAGAGATGAGCTTGTGGGCGTCGTTGTCGTCTCTGAAGAATGGCCTTCATAATCGCGAGAAAAGCGTACCTGCAGCTATCGCACACCGGATGCCGGAATCGATCCCACAGGAACGACTCGATTATCGGCTTCTGGCACAGTTGGCAATCATCCAATGGGATTGACGGTGCTCGGGCGTCGATTCCTAAAAAAAAATAAGGATTATACGGGTTGGGGAGGCCACAATTTTGGTATGCGGTTTTTAGGTCATTCTAGGCCGGTTTTTTGCAATTTCGACTAGCGCATAAACGTCGAGATACGCAAAAAAAACTAGCGCAACCTCCACTGTTCGAGACAACTGTTTTCCGATTATCATTATGCGTTCTTCGAACACAGTGCAAAAAACCATGGTCCTGCCGAATCCAACCATTGCCTCTGCGAACAAGCTTACTTCTCTGTCGCTTCTGCGCGATCTCTTCCCGTCGTTCGGCCACCTGATCATCATCGTCGCAAAAGCCACCAGACGCTTCGAATGAGCCGAGGTTTTTTCTGAAAAAACGAATGAACTACGCATCCCAATGCAAGCAACATCATTGCCATCTGATAAAGGCGAGAGGAACGAGTGAAACTTGATTTCTGGCAATCTGACAACAATTCCGATAGGCTTACTTATATAGCTGCTCGACAAGCGGCACTTCGGATTTCCTTTTCGACATTTGCCCGTGCGATTTGACGCCTCAAAAGCATTACGTAACTGGGGAGGGCGGTTTCAAGATCCCGCGTCTCCCAACAAACTACACACCGGTGCCGGTCTTTCAAAAAAGAACCCCAAAAAACGACAGTTAGCAAATAGCACACGTTTCGCACGGGAAGGCTTTCTAGGTAACCGAGTATTCGAGCAGTAAAAAAAACAGTAATTCGACGTGTAAGGCATGTGCAGATACATCAGAGGACAAAATCCCGTCTTGGTTGGCTGGGTTGGTTTAACTTAAAGAGATGAGGACGGCATCTGTTGAACCCCCCCCACTGCCATTCAGGCTTTAATAAAAACGCGCACGAGAGGGGGGACGGGGGCTGGGCTACGCAGCGCGCCAATGCACCGCGTAACGCATTGGGAAAGCATAGAAAGTCGGAAAGAGCTGCCTTTCGAAAGGCTATAAGTTTTTCCAATGTGCAAATCTTAATCTACTTGCGTGGAGAAAAAATAAAACCGACTTCGCTCTATCTTTTGAGCCGACTTAGGCAGGGATCCTCCACAGCAATCCGGCGCCCGGTCCCTTTTAAGTTGGAAAAATAAGGTAGCTTCAACAAATTGCTTTCTAGAACAAAGAAAATAGTTGCCTAGATCGATTTTTTGAATTCTCTGTGAACCTTCCGCTACCAACTATCCAATTAGATGCAAAATTCAATGTTCCTGGCATTTAGTTTACCGTTTCAACAGAAAGTTCGCTCAAATTTCCAACTGGATGTAATATTTTATGATGACGGTTTCTAAATCTGCTTGAGCCCTGGGACCACAGAGCAGCCTTTACTCTATCTTTTGCAACGAGTTTTAGAAAATCATAGCGTGACGATTTAGGCAACTGACCATTTGAAGATGGTAAAGGCGCCGTCTAACTTTATCGGTCTATTGGCCCGGAAAGAATGTGAAAGCTCGTTTCCTGACTTCTCTAGCGTTACGGCACTCCATTAGGAACATTTGGGACGAAAAAGCAAAACGAAAATGAAAAGAACAGCGGGCCCAGGAACCGAACCCGCACGGCCTGTCTCGGGGCTGGGCCGGCGCCTTAGACCACTACACCACGCCTCGACCACCCCTCTCGTGCGCGCTCTGAAAGGCAGTGCCCCCTGGGGAGGGGGGGTTCAACAGGTCCCAGCGCGACCGGCGGCGAGAGAGGGCGCCCAGACTCGGTTCAAAATGGGCGGACCGATGCGCGGCTCTGGGGATTGCGCGGGTCTGCGGGCGGCTCTCGGCCAATGCGCGGCCCGGCCACGGCCAATTGCGCGGGGCTGCCCTTTCAGCCGCGCAATCGGCCGCCGACGGAGAAAGCGCGGGCCGCGCATTTCGTCCAGAGTTCATGAAAGTACAAGAACTAAAACTTAGGAAATTCACTTCATTTTTATCTAACTTTATAAGCCGTTTACTTATAATGCTATTTGATGCTTCTTCAATCTGGTATGATCAGCGTAACAACTTCTATGTTCTGCGAGGTTAGTTTCCAAATACATTACAGGTCTACAACCTTATGGATGTTCGGATGGTGCTGAAAAGACCGATAAAAGTGGGTTTTTCTTGTTGTAAATGTACTTTTGTTTTTGGTTTTTAGAAATAGAAGCGATCACAAGCGGCAGACGGGCCCCGCCGCGCCATTTCCGCAACGATCTACCTTGGCCGCAGCACGATGCGCATTTCAGGTTAGTTTTTTATCTATTTTTGCTTCCGTAACATGCGTTTTCTGGAAACGCTGCCGCGTTTAGGATTGGTCTTTTTAGGATTGATGATCCTGGGCAAGGGCGAGCTGCAAATTTCGACCGCCTGGCGCTGGCCGGTGACACAGCTAGAAAGCGCCGTAAGCTGTTTGAAATTATCGGGTTTCTTTGTGAATTCAGGAATGATCGATGCTTCTATGGCCCGGGCGTGCGACGGATCGACAGGATATTGGTTTGTTTTCCTTTTATTTGGCTTGGCGATCAAAATTGCCATAGTGGGAATTTAGGGTATCAAAATGTCGCGTTTGCCTTGTTCTTTTAGCGATATTGTATTATTAAAGCTTATTTTAGATACGCCGCATGAAAACGCGCCAACGTACCGAAAACGCCAAGTGATCTCGTCCAGTCAGAGGTATTTAGTTCTTGGAAATGACCTGTTTGTTTAGGGGAAGACGCCGCATCTACCAGGAAGTCGCCGGTGAGTAATTTTTCGCGGGTGTTGTCGTCGTTTTATGTTTATCTATGCTTATTTACGTAGTTTTTCAGGGTTCTGCCCGCGAGGAAAGAAGCAGATTTGGCACGCTTTGGAAAAAGCGTCACCAATGAACGCCTGCAGGACATAGACGATCGCCAGGAAATAAAAAACGAACAGGTTGCTTTGGGAAAATAGCTTATCTTTTGGTTTAGCAGTTCTACGTGGAAAAAGAGATGCACGTCCAATTTCTTCTCCAAACCATCTATTCCGTCCAGAACCTACTCTTCGATTACCTACAAGTGGTTTTAGAAGGGGTGATGCTGGGACTACTTACTGGTAACACGATTTAGTTTTCTCGATACCTATCCTATTAGAATTCACGCAGGGCCGCGAATGGTTCAGACTGACAAAACAAGAGCGCGCCGATGGCCTGATTCCAAAAGGCTGATGAAGGTAGGTTCTGCGTGAGTCTTTTTTATTTATTCTAACAAAATCCTATAAAAAATCATAGAGGCAAAGGAGAATACACAGATTGCCTTTTCAGGTTCTTTCACTACCGGCACACGTAAAAAGTAAGTCTGAGTCGACAAACGCATGGTATGACGACATACCATCGTGTAAAAAAGTGCCGTTTCAACTAAAATAAAAATAAAAAGCGCTATCGGAATTCAGGAAACGGATCTACGCCAACATGCGAGCGTCCTCACCGAACAACTCTACTCGCGGGACAAGATGATCATAATTTTCTGTGTTTTAATGTGATTTTTATAATGGATTCTCCTGGTATAAACTAAATCAGTAGATGACACACTCATACGCATGTCCCAAGTCATAAAGCCTGCTTAAAAGCAGGTTTAATAAGTGATTTTAACAATTTAAAGGAGGAAAAGCCGACCTACGGCCTTTTTTCGCGAGAGCCGCCCCCAGGCCCGCGCAATTCTGAGAGCCGCGCAACGGCCCGCCCTTGCAAATTGCGCGGGCCTGAACGCGGGCACGTCTCCAGGCCCGCGCATTCCCCCGCACAACGGCCCGCGCATTTTGAACCGAGGAGGCGAGGCGCAGAGACATTTTCTTTCCCGCGCGTAATCGATTGACTTATGCCGCCCCTATCTCTTTAAGAGCAAGTCTAGCAAATCCTCCAGTGCGGACCGCGCGACATTTGATAATTGCTCAAAAAAAGCGCAATGCGCAATCTTTAGCCCGCCAGTTTGCGTTGCGTAACTCATTTTGGGGCGACCTCACATGGCTTGCAGAACTGTTGAGCAACTCCAAAAAACTTAAATGCTATCACTTTTGTGAAAAATGGGCTGTGGTAAAACCGATACGGATTTTCGCATTATCGGGGGGGGACAACATCTGGTTGCAATCAACATTTTTCAATTGATATATTCGAGCGATGGTGATCTGAATAAATCATATAACATCAATTGGTGTGAGGCGTGAAATCACGCCAATTTCGAATGTTTTGCTTGAAAGGCCAGTCTTTCCACGCGATGAGCTGATCGGTTTTTTCGTAGTTCTGCGCCACCATCATCCCAATGCTTCTCTGAAAGAATTGTTGCTATGCTATGATCTAATCAATGACAGTACAAAAATGTGTTTCAAGTGCGGCGGTCTCTGTGTGTTGCACCCGCACGGGCATTCAGAGGACCGGGAAAGCGCCTGTGAGAGGAGGGGCGGCTCCAGGGCACTCCAATGGCCGCGCGTGTACTGTGCACGCTCCGCGATCCATGATCTCCCCTAGAAAGGGCCGAAAAATGGTCAAAAATTTTGAACTTCAAATCGCTATAACTTTTGAAAAGGCCATGTGAATCGGGAGCGCTGCTCTAGGAATGTAGAGAAGAGTCTGGGCTATGTTATGGAACAGGTCTCAGGCCGATCTACAGCAGAAATAAGGACTTCTATAGCTTTTTAGCTCAAAAAGTGTTAAATTCCGTCCTTTGTGCGAAGCGTTTTTCTTTGAATTTAGGCTCATTCTTTGTGGTTTTTTCACTGAACTTGCTTGGGAAAGCATTGCCAACGTTAAATCAGCCACTTTTTTGGTCCTGGGAGGCTAAAATTTGTTGTTGCAATTCCGGCAAGCTTTTAATTTATTAATTTTTCGCATACTATGCTCCATAAATGATCTATTGGGACTTTTCCAGGCTTTTGGCGCAAAAAGCAAAAGGTGAAACAATTAGGTATGCGGTTTTTAGGTCATTCTAGGCCGGTTTTTTGCAATTTCGACTAGCGCATAAACGTCGAGATACGCAAAAAAAACTAGCGCAACCTCCACTGTTCGAGACAACTGTTTTCCGATTATCATTATGCGTTCTTCGAACACAGTGCAAAAAACCATGGTCCTGCCGAATCCAACCATTGCCTCTGCGAACAAGCTTACTTCTCTGTCGCTTCTGCGCTATCTCTTCCCGTCGTTCGGCCACCTGATCATCATCGTCGCAAAAGCCGCCAGACGCTTCGAATGAGCCGAGGTTTTTTCTGAAAAACAACGAATGAATTACGCTCCCCAATGCAAGCAAAATCATTGCCATCTGATAAAGGCGAGAGGAACGAGTGAATCTTGATTTCTGGCAATCTGACAACAATTCCGATAGGCTTACTTATATAGCTGCTCGACAAGCGGCACTTCGGATTTCCTTTTCGACATTTGCCCGTGCGATTTGACGCCTCAAAAGCATTACGTAACTGGGGAGGGCGGTTTCAAGATCCCGCGCCTCTCAACAAACTACACACCGGTGCCGGTCTTTCAACAAGAAGCCCAAAAAACGGCAGTTAGGAAATAGCACACGTTTCGCACGGGAAGGCTTTCTAGGTAACCGAGTATTCGAGCCGTAAAAAAAGTGATTAGACGTGTAAGGCATGTGCAGATACATTAGAGGACAAAATCCCGGCCCCGGTTTAACTTATGAGCAAGTCTAGCAAATCCTCCAGTGCGAACCGCGCGACATTTGATAATTGCTCAAAAAAAACTGTCGTAGGCACTTTCAGCGCAATTCAGCCAGATTCAGATAAGCTCGAGCTGCGAAAAGTTATCTGTCGTTCTTGCGCAATCTTTAGCCCGCCAGTTTGCGTTGCGTAACTCATTTTGGGGCGACCTCACGCAGCTTGCGGAACCGTTGAGCAACTCCAAGAAACTTAAATGCTATCACTTTTGTGCCTAATGGATTGTGGTAAAATCGATACGGATTATTTCGCATTATCAGGGGGAAGGGGGGGGGGGTTGGGAGGCTGCGAAAGCCTAAAAATGGCTAGTAAATTAATAAGCAGTATTTCAGTTGGAAATATAACTATATTTACCATAGAAAAGCTATATGACAACCTCAAAAAAGTCGAAATGGTGGACATAAAACGGTTTTGTATTTTTTGAAATTTGTAAATTTTACGTTTAGGAACCGTAAGAGAAAGGGTTTAGAATTAGTTCCGCCTTTATATTTCAAAAATGATCCTGATCATCTTCTCTTTCTATTCTTTTCGTTCTTCATTTTCGTCCTTCTGAACTTTGGCCATTTTCAGCGCATGAAATCGCATGCCGAGCCCTCAACTCTCGAACCTCCCGCGCCTCACGCTGTGCCAAAATGGGCACGCTGTTTATAGCGGTAAGAAATTCAGCATTTTTCAAGTGATTACAGTTTTAGCGCACGGGACGACCATCGAAAAGTTCGAGTTGAGAGATGGGCGGCTTCACCTTTTGGACGCGCACCTCGTTGAAACGCCGGGCACCGGAGAAATTGGGCAACTCGTAGTGTGTAGAACCGACGAAAATGCAGGTACATTTTTTGCGAAAAAGGTTATTCGCATTATCGGGGACTTGGTGTTTTTTCCTATACGTCTAGAAATGCTTAGTAAGTAATAGGAAGTATTTTAACCATGTTTTTAATGAAATAAAGTTGACTTCTACTGGAAAAACGTTCAAAAAGTCGGAATCCTGGTCGAAAAATCTATTGTTTTGTAAGTTTTAATAAATATTTGTAAGTTTGTACGTTTTGGAATAGTAATAAACAGTTTTGAAACACCTCCGCACATTAATTTGTAAAATTGGATCCTAGGAAAAATGTTCCGCCCCCGGATAGCACGAAAGAACCAAGTTTTCCAAAAGAGTAACGTTTTTAGGTTGCCTACACTTCACGAGCCGGAACTACTATTGTCAAGTTGGAGCCGAAGCGAACTCGCCGCCGAAGAGCCAGAAATTCGGCACACGCGTTGCTCACTTGCGAGTTTTTGCCGACGGGGTAGCTTTATTTGAATTTCGCTAGATTATATCCTTTTTAGACCCGTCTCTTCCTCTTCATGGATGGCTCCGCCGAATTATGGCGTGACGGCAAGCGACTGAACGCGATAGACCCTCCTAAAAATGCGCAAATGTTTGTCAGAACATTTGTTTTGTTTAAATTTACTTTAGAATGGGCGCGACGTCGACCGGGGATGACTTTGAGAACTGCACACTGGTGATGTACACGTATCTCGGGTCGATGATACGCTGGCGACCGGCCCGTCAAGCCCCGGCTTTTCAGTACGACGGAAGTGCGGTACGCTAAAGCAGGAAATTGACATCGTTTTTCTAGGGTATGACGTTCGAGGCGGTAATTCTCGGCCAGTACGCCTTCTCGGTGCACGACGATCGGTCGCTACGGGTCTGGGACCTAGAGGTACAGCTAATACTGAACAAAAACTATGCAAAATGTTTCTTTTCTTGGGCTACAGGCGTGAAATTCCTTTTTTTGAAGTTGGGTGGCCCCAACAGCGTTAAAAAAGCCTTGCGGGATCTGTTTGCTTGAAACGCAAGTTTTCGGGGCTAGTTTTTTGCGCTGATTTTGAATTTCAAAATTTTAGACTGAAAGAAGAACAACTTTCGACTACAAATTACTATCAGTCGACTCCATAAACGTTTTCCGCGTATTTGGCACATTGGATTTTGAGTTTGTAAACCAAAGTTTCTGATGCCTAATGTTTGTGCTCGCGTCCTCTAACAGTGATTCTAAAAGCGTTATTCATAGTATGTTTTATATTATTCCTCAAGTTCAATGTCAAATTACAAAACTAGCACAGAAAACTCGTTTAAAGGCTCACCTAAAATTCTGCGTTTTTGCGAATTCTATCGTTGCAATTTCTATCATTTTCAGGGCGATTCGGCGGCTTCGATTGCACACGAATTCGGGCACAGCGCAAGGTGGAGATCTGGCATTGGTGAATATACTCCTCATTTTAGGCCCTTCTCGGTATGCATCGACAAGGCCCGCTCTATGATCTTTACGGGCGGGAATGATCAGGTAAAACGGGATTTTGCTTCCCTGCAAAACTCGTTTTGTTTAGAAAATTCTGCGTTGGCACTGGGAGGCAGAGGTCGGGAAGCTGTTCCTGGTCGGCCAAGTCCAAATGACGATCGGCTCGATGCGGAAAATGATTTATTTCGACGATTGCCTGGTGGGTGATATCGGCTTTTTGCTGAACCTTCGCGTGTCCAGTCCCAAACAGTCCCCGTTTTTCAGGTTGTTTGTTCGGATGCCGGCGCGCTCGCATCGATCCCGTTGGCAGCTTTTGATGTGCCATTTTCGACACCTGCCCCGCTGGTAATCGCGATCGCGGGAAAAAAAGCTGTGTATTTTCCAGGCTCTGCAAGTGCGCGACACGAGGATATATGGTGATCAACCGTATTTTATTGACCAGACAGGGTAAGCTTCATTCAAAT